GAGGGTGTCATGCCGCTTGATATGGAATTGAGTGTGAGGCAACAATTACCCTGCATGTGCAGGTAGTCAACAATCCTTGCATAGCACGCATATACCAGGGGAGACATTTTAATTGAATTTATGCCACAGCTTCACAATTTGCGCGACGTGCATGTAGCCCAAGCAGGCAGTTGCCAACATCCGTTTACTTACTGTCAACTTCTTGATCGGCGTTTTGGCAGGTGCATTTCGGCAAGAGGCGCCGTGTGTGCCTCGTTTGGGGCGGGGAGAAAATTCCGGTGACCAAAGACAACCTGGAGCTGTACTTGAGCCTCTATGCGGCGCATCACCTCAAGAGCAACGATGACGCTCTCGCTCGTCTCAAGAAGGGCTGCTTGGGAATAAAGATAAATGGGTGTGGCTCAAAATTCAAGATTTTGGGCAAACCGCAGGTTTTAGTCTTTGGTTACATTTTCCAAGGTGCCAGTATGTACCCTTTATTGAGTCACTAGCCAAATCTTTGGGATTGGATTTGTGGTCGTTGCGTCTTGATTAAACAAACTCCTGCCAGGTTGATTGTGTGATTGCATTGGTTCCTTTGTGTACCTGTCTTAATGGTTAATTGCTCATACTAAAGCCGCGCAACCAGAGAAATATCTAGCAAGTGTTCACTTGTTGCCAAACCCATTGGGTTCTAACACGTTTGGGGACGTTTTTTTCATGTGTGGCCCTGCAATAGTCAGCAGGCTTGGGCAAAGTGTTTCCTCTTCAAAGGGATTCCAAAGGTTGTTTAAACAACAGTGGTTCAAACATGTTCAAACAAGGGGTTAGCCCAAGCAAGGTAATTAAGGCTTCAGCCTCATTCTGCTGCGTTTGGATTGGATCATCTTGGCTTTGCACTGGATTTGGCCCCCAAATGCTCACATTTCCAAACCGCCCTGTTAGCGTGTTGGTTCGGCTGTTCGACTTCTGTTTTGTGTTGATCCCAGATGAGTATTTTAAGCGCCGTATGTGAGATAGGAAAGGCACCGGGGAGTCGCGGCAGTTCTGAGGCTTCTACCACTTCTGCCCTCGCGCTCTGATCCTGGCAGCATCCTCCTGCCTCAAGGTTGAGGAGTTCGATCGGCTGCTCTCGGGGAACGACGAGATCGATATCGAGGATTGGAAGAAGCACACCAAGTACGACGGCCCAGGAGCCAAAGACAGATGTTTAAGCGCTTGCTTTTATGTCTGTGCTTGTGGTTTTGTTTGTGTGTGTTTGCGTCTTGAGACTGCCCTTTTCACCTTGGTGCAAAGGGAAGCCAATAAGCCAACCAGGCGGCCAACCAGCATTTTTGGGCGGGTCCCCCTATTTTGACACACACCGGTGATGGCCAGACGAACGCCAATGGTTTCATCAGGACTCTAAATCAGAAGGACTAAGCCTTGAGGATGGAGTGCTTGGGTCAGCCCATAGAGCTCCCTTACTGCGATTCACCTCGCCAGGAGCGCCCGCCCGCACCAAGGTCGTCAAATGGCGCCCTGGGCAAAGATTCCTTATGTTGTGCCCCTGTGGGAAGGTATTTATCCCCTTTCTTCTGGCGCCGTTTTGTAGAACAAAAGATGCCTGTGCCTGAAGGTCGCTTCGGTTGGTGCAGTCAACACATGGTTATATCTTGGATATCGATGAGTGCAGCAATGATCTTGGAAGTTGTTGTACACGCTTCGCATGCACTTGACTTCTGGCATTTAATCTCGGTTCTGGAGTCAAGCAGTCTTTGGCTTTCAGCTCGCTTTGGCGTGAAAGGTTCTGGGCAGCGGTCAAGTCCATGACGATGCAAGAGCGGAAGCTGCTGTTGAGGCGCTTGCCTGAGCGGCTTCAATCGCTTGCTTTGTTCGCGAGGTCTATGTGTGCACATAATTCTGTGATCTATATTATCTGTATTTACATGATTTGGCTATTTGGCCGTGCTCTTTGGAGTAGACTTGAAGTGATGAAGTTCGACGTGCGGCGTGTTTTTGGCCCATGGATGTTGCGCCAGGTTTGCCACTGGACAGACCAGTGCCCCCATCGGCGGCTTCAAGTCTTTGAAGTCCGAGGACTCGAAAAGTTTGGGTCGTTGACTCGGGGATGGCCTCTGTGTTTAGTTGGCGAGTTGGGTGGCATGCTCGATTGGTCATGTGGGTTGAATGATGGAATTATATGGAATTGCCCCATGACCGTCAGATTGCTGGCTTTGGGGCATTTATTCACAATTTGGACTGGTCTTCTCCGTTGTTGGACCGAAACAAGCTGATTTCTCCCCTGGTACGCTGCCCCGAGACGTTGTACGGATGTGAATGATCAGCGAGTCATTGTGGACGGGAGTTTGCCATGACACCGCTCGATCAGTCTGTTTGAGCTGTTTCCCCCTTGTGCGTGAGGAGATCTTGAGTCACGCTAGGGTTGATTGAGTCATCGACGAGTTGCTTGAATCTGAGCGTGTCCTGTTCCGTAGCTTCCACCCTTTTTGATGGATGACGGGAGGCCCAAGGGGGCTAATCAGTGTCGGTGCTCAAGCGCATCATGCCAATCAACAGGTGGTCCAATAGCCCAAGGATGATACGTTTAGATGTGTTTGCTTGCTGTACATCTTGAAAATCTAGGAACCCTTGTTTCCCTTCAGTTTCACTTTCAACCAGCCCCAAAATGGATATCCACAAAAGCAACAACAGACCCAGCTTACAAAAGCTTCAATGAATGTGGCCATTTCAAAGGGCGTAGCCTTCAGCGCCATCAGGCCCAAGGATTTCATGATATTTGGTGAGCGCTTTGAAAACAAAAAGCGCATGACATGTGAGGAGTTGCAACCAGCTGTCCGTTGTAGCTGCACAAGATAGCGACAGCCGGCAGAAGGGTCCAGCAGGCCAGCGGTTTTTAAGCCTGCTATTTGTAAGCCCTTCAAGACTTGTATGAGGAAGGAGGTTTGCCCAAGCATTGAGACTCTCGACATCTTGTCAATTCCATGCATCAAGTCGCCGAGACAGCGTACGCTGGTACATTCTGCATTTCAAAGCAACGTCTCAAGAGCTATTAATCAAACCTACTGAGCATCCCTAGAGGCTATGCGTCAGGATTGAATTCGTGAGACCGCAAGAAACTGACACGACTGAGACATGTTCGACTTCAGAACTTAGTCTCGACGATGGGTCTCTTTGAGTTCCCCCCGGGGCCTCCGGGGCCTCCGGGAGAAAATCCTTGAACATCCTGAGGACATGAGCATGCCCTTTACGCTGGTGCTGAAGTCGCGACCAGAGCCGGGCAAGCTTAGAAGCTTTTATCCCACGGCTGCCACCTGCTCTAACATGCTTCAGCTTCCACGCTACGACACCGAGTCTGATTTGAAAAAGTACCTCGCCCATGTCATCCAAGAAGTGACTTGGCTGCCCTCGCAGCAATATTGTTCTGCGCTCTGTATCCAAGGTGATTTGCCGAAATACTCAAATCATCAGCTGGATACGTTTGAACTTTGAAAGGCGAACCCGGGGGGGGTAGATTGTGTGTGTGTGGTGTGTGTTTGTGTGTTTGTTTGACATCTATTCAGTACGTTTGCCACCAACAAACGCAGATTGATGGAAATGCACGGCAGGTGTTGGAAGTCTACCATCTTAAGAAGGGCTCTTGCCCACTTCCATCATGGTTGGACAGAGGAGAAGTTTTACTCGGCATATGCGAGCAGCTGCGGTCTCGAATGTTGCAAGTGGCATCAAGCTTCTTGGAATGTACGGATAGACTGTGTAAGATGTTGTCAAAAGGTGGAGAGGACAATCGGAGGGCTGTTTGCGTACTTATATGTGTCAAACTAATTGTCAACATGCTCATATCGGGATTGCAGTTGCGCAGTAAGCCTAATCGCTGGCTCAACAAAGGTATACTTGGCAAATATCAAGGTCCCCTGTGAACAAGTCGATGGAATGCACGCTACGGGTGAATTCAGTTGAGGCTTCTGAGTGGCAATTGATTGGGCGTTCCGCTTTTGAGCTCAGCAGGTTTTTCGATGTCATTATCCTGTCATGCAGGGAGTAGCTTAAACTCCGTCCGTGGCTTAAGAGAGACTCATTAACCATTGGGCCCCCCTGTGTTGGCAGGTGTTTGGCAGTATGTTATCCTTCGTTGCAGTGGGCAAAACTGCGGATGTCCATTCAATGGATGTGGGTGTTTCTCAGAATTATGGACCCCTTCATGTGGTTGCCTTCCTTGTGGTTACCCTTTCAACCATCCAAAAAGGGAACCCCCTATTTTGAGAAACACCCGCAGCATTGTGATTTGGTTGTTTGAAGCCTCGAGTTGCTGTGGAAGTATTTGCATGTGTGTGTGTGTAAAAGAGTAGTGCTTGCATTCCCAAGTTGGCAAACTGAGGAGATGATGACCTTTGCAGAAATCGAGTAGACAGGCGCCAGCCGCAAGCACCTTGCATGTAGCCAGTTAGTTGGTTCTTTTGATTGGCGGCTAGATGACCAAATGCCTCCATGATGACCTGCAGACAATATACTTAATCTGTGGATCTGCTTTTGACATGTTGCATAGGCTTCCATTACTTGTGGAATGTCAAAGCTTGCCAAAGGCTGGCATCAGTCATCATGAGCCCGTTTCCAAAGTCCACGCCAATCCAAAGCAGAAGACCTGACTTTGGCAAGGTGCAAAAGCACCTCTGACTCTGCCATCGAGCATGGGGCACGGGGGGCAAAATGAATTGGCCATGACACGAGATGCTTTGAAGATAGCCTGCTTTGAACTTCAGACTTTGGTCTCCGAAATGAGCTGCAGAAGGTGCAGCCGGTGATCCGTGCCTTTTGTTTTCCTTATCGAACAGTTTTTGTGAGGGACGACGATTTTACTGGCAACCCACCACGATTGAAGTGTTTTTGTCCAATCCTCGGAAGTGAGAAGTGCAATCGTCTTCACAAGTCCACGCATCTTTGGCACGTTTTCATGAGTCCAAGTGAAGTCCATCAAGATGCAGTACATCCAAGCTCTACCTTGTTTGTCGCTGCTTGCTAAGGTGCGATGCCCACTTCCGGCGCGTTGGGCTTGATGCGCACGGGACAATGAGGCGCCTTGTTTTTCCGCGCATACCCGCCCCTCTTGAAGCACCACGGTATGGCTAGGCATGAAGGGGAAGGGACAATCCTGCGTGAAGGCGATGGCTCCGAAGGCTAAAACAAGTAAAAAATGGTTCGCTTCTTTTGTAAAGGGCAAACAAGCAGTTTGCGTCTTTACTGGACTCTTTGTATTCTGCTGAAAAGTCCACGAAGGCAGAGCACCATCCAGGCTGGCTCTGCAGCTAGCGCTGGGCTACCAACCAGAGTCATGTTTGTCAACGACTTGCACCTCGGACCTCTGATAATCTGAGCCACGTACCCTTGACTTGCCTTGGACCCCCGATTGACTCGCCTGGTGAAGTGATGCTTGCTGGGTGCTGTCCAAAGTGAAGCATTTCTTGATCAAGAGGAACACCGTTGCAGGCGGTGTGTAGACCCGATGACTGCTTTTGTTTGCCCCTCCAGCATGGTCCTTCATTGAACGGGTATCCTCGGTTTTGATCCGTGCCCAAATTCATCCATCAACATTGCCTGCTTGATCCAGGGTCCAGATTGTTCTGTGAGTGAAATCACAAAGCACAAACGGGAAAGCCCTGCCACATTCTCCAGTGTGGCCACCACACCCTCTCCAGTTGATTCATTGCATCTCACCTCTCTTCAGTTGGCCCTTTGTTGCTGATTGGCTTGCCTTCGCAACCATCCGCACGGTGTTGGGTCCATCTTTTTTGAGGGTACCCTAAAAAGGGGTCCTTTTGGCTTGAGGTTTTTCGATTGGGTCCCTTTGGCTTTTGCTTTTGCCAAAAGGAAACCGCCCATTTGGGCGGTTCCCCTCTCGACGCGGTGAGGCGTGTCGAGCTCCGCCGGCTCCTGTGGACCTTCGCCCACTCCTTGGGCTCCAGCGAGCCGTGGCCCCGGGACCGAGAGCTGGTTGGGTCAAACAAGAAACAAATCGCCACAAATCGCTCTCTTGCCCATTCGGAACTCCTCACAATTTATTGGGGCCAACACCCATTTTGAAGCAAACCCGGGAAAATCATTACCCTCCGTTGGCATGGCAACTGTCTGACTGACAAGGGGTCCCTTCAAAAGGAATTTGATCTTCCAGGTACCTCCCCACGGTTGCCATGTTAGTTGGACGAAGCGTACACTTCTTGGGGCCAACGCCCATTCTGAAGCAAACCCGAGTTGGTAAGAGGACGGGGCGGGGCGACAAAAACAAGCTTCCCTGCAAGATGAACCAACACAAAGTGTGACTTTCCCCAGGTAGCCAAACATTTGATTGGAAATTAAGAATGTCTGTGTGTGTGTGTGGAATTCACAACGCGGAGTTTAATATTGAGAAGATAATTGGTTCTTGGATTTGGTTGAGTGTTGGTGTCTCACTGGTAGGACTGGCTTTCGGGATTGGGTGGAGATTGCTTGATAGTCAATGATGGCTTTTTACTGTTAGGCGGTTGATTTCATTTGTCCAGTCCTGGCATTCTATTGCGTTGTTGGGTCAATGATTAGTTTTGTTGTCAAGGTTGCTATATATAATGATATAAGTTATTTTACATGCGGTGCTGTGGGCTAGCATGACACCTTTTGTCACACCAGTGTTTACAACCTTGTGACTGTGCGAGTAAAGTTTATCGGAATACTAGCTACTACCTGGTGCTACAGGCACTTTGAACAGATTACCTCGAACCGCAAAGGACATATACGTTCATACATTCCGTATATTCGGCATTTATATCACCAAAGGAAGTTGAATCACTTAGTCGCTTCAGCTAGCACAGAGACGCTCACAAGAGAGCTAACTTCGAGCGTTTGTGATTTGGAGGAAGCGCAGAGAAGCAACCTCTGTTCGCGCGGCCGCGGTCTCCGAAAGTTCGCCAATGGCATGCCCGCGCACACTGAATCGTCTTGCTTCGCCCGATGACGCAGAGGGTATTGTGAGTGTGGAGGCGCTCTCGCTGCGGCGCCGTGCGAAATGTGTGAATCTGCAGAGTGCTCGATGAGCTCTGTGGGGATCGTGTGTGCAGAAGTGCTCTGTCCGCAGCTCTGGTTCGAAATTGGCAACTCGCAATGATGTACGGAAGTTGTACGCGAAGTGCTTTTCTGCAGCTCCACTCTAAGATGGCAAGTTTGTGCGTGAAATTTGTGCACGGAGTGCTGCTGTTCTGCAGATACGGCTCGAGAATCGCAACTTTTAGAGATTAGAACGCAAAGTACCTTTCTGCGCAAGTTTTTTCTGCGCAAGTCACTCTGCGCAAGTTTCTCTAGAGTCGCTCTGTGCAGAAGTCGCTTTGCTCAAGTCACTCCACACAAGTCACTCCACGCAAGTCACTCCACGCACATCATCCTGCGAGTGACTCTGCTCAAGTCACTCCGCGCAAGTTGCTTTGCACAAGTTGCTCTATGCAAGTCAGTCTCTAGACTGTCTTTGTGCGAGTTGCTCTGAGCAAGCATTGCGGAAGCTGCCCGCAAGTCACTCTTCGCAAGTCGACTCCACGCAAGTCTCTCTACGAAAGCGGCTCTTCACAGGTCACTTTGCGCAAATCTTTCACTGCACGCTGCCCAAGGCCCACCGCAAGTTACGCAGGTTGCTTTGCGCAAGTCAATCCGTGTAAGTGTCTCTGCGGACGGATTGAGAGCCCCATGAAGCCTGCAAAGCAACGCCCGTGCAAAAACACGGAAGAGAAGCGTGCTGCAAGAACATGGCAACATGGTCCAACAGCTTCTTTTAGAGAAGTGTTGCAGAAACTTCCGTCACCCACTCCCAAAGCTTACCTTGTATGTCATGCATGTTCGTATGCTTGCGTGTTGGGACATGTTCCAATCAATTGATCTGGAAGCATGTGCGTGACATGGGAAAGAGGGTGTTTGGGTCACAAAAAGTAGACTGACTGGCAAACAAAGCTAAGGGAGAAGCAATTGGACATGCCTTAAGATGTCTGTCAGGCGTTTTTGCAACCTTAGGCGCTCCCGAGGACCAGCGAAGACTTGTAAAGTTGATTAAGTCATGCTTGGTTTGCAGGTTGGAGGGCTTTAGGCTGGTTGTTCCGGCAGATCGAGAAAGATGCCTTCAAGGCACTTGCGGATACTGGAATCATGGACTGAAGAGTAAGCACAAACGCCCTCCGAACCTTTAGTGTTGAATGTCGAGAAAACAATGAGCCGGCTACACCGGTCTGCACTGGAACTTGGCCTCAGCATTCCGAAGACGCATTGCGCACAGCCATTGCTTCTTGGTACAGTCACCTGAGGCTTCATCAATGCCGCCTTGTCCTGTATTGGACTGCGGGTTCCATACCAGAAATGAAATCACAGAAACGGATGCAAGTCTGTTAACAGAAATTAGTGATCAATTGCCACTGGGCAACGCTGCTTTGTTTCGGAGATCTGAGTCACCTGAAGCCTTGGCAGACAATAGGCGCCACAGCTGAGGCTTACATGGGAAGCCATTGAGGCCAAAGGGCGCGGCCCCTTCAGTTGGCTGAAGGATTTGGGTTTTGAAAGGTGGGTGGTCCAAATTTTGAGCCGGTTCCTGTGTGGACTGTGCCTCCTGCCATCTTGTGCCGCCTTGTAAAGAGGGCGCCTACGGGTAGTGTTTACGGCTCTTGCAGGTTTCGGATGTGGATCCGTCTCTTCACTTTGCCAGGTCGTCCGATTGCTTGGGACCGGCTGCCGATGTTCAACTGCCTCATAGCCAAATTTGACCGACAACACTCAGTGCCATGTTGATGGGATCGCTTTCGGGTGACCACGATATTGTTTGACTGATGCTAAGTAAGAGCTACAAGCACTGCCGCCCGGCTTCGATTGTGAGGGTTGCTGGCCGTGTGATGCAAATTGACTCTTTGTGTGTTTCGAGACAGTAGCTTCTTGGGCATGGGTAAACACACTTGCGGGGGGGAGGGGGAGGGGGAAGGGGGAGGGGGCGTTGGTTTGGGCTTCCCGTTTGTTTGCTAGGGTGTATGAAGCAGTATGCTATAGCAAAATGTTTGTAGCTGTGACATACACACCTCAACATATTACGGCACCAAAGCGCATGCCGCAAAGTGACGTAGGCTCACAATGGTTCACATGTCTGCTCTTCGTTCCCAGTCACAGTAGCTACGTTTGGAGTAGACGATAGCTTCTCAGACCACGTCTTGTGATCAGAAGGCAATCCCAAGTGTCCCAAGTGTCAGGCAGCTTTGAAGCCTGGGAAGAGCTCTTCGAATGATTTGATGTTCCTGCCATTGCAAGACGGATCGCTCGCCTTTCCAACTGTTTGCCTTTTGCTTTTCCATTGACCCTTTCAACCAGCCGAACGGGCCGAACAGTGACGACTTTTTCCAGGGGACTGGGCTGTTGCTCTGGGGAGCTGGGGCTGGTCATTGGAGGCATTTGCCGTGACCGGCACCCTCGAAGCCAACATGCCTGTGGTGACCCGCGAGGAGTTTTTCAGGCCAGTTGAGCGAGCCGCAGTGTTCGCAGGAAATGCTGCAGGCAGTATCTTGGTGGCTCCCAGCCATCCGGTTCCTTAGCTTTTTAATTAGGTCCTTTTTGTGATTTTAGTGTTTAGTGGCTGGGTTTCCATTTAACCCACTAAAACTTAAACTTTTAGCAGGGGATCTCAGGGCAGCCCTGACTGACCCTGTAAGCCTATGTCATTGTTTAGGATGTCATCTCAGGCAAGATTGAGATTCAACATGTGCGCCCTATGCAACGAGTTAAACAGCAGTCAATCGGCCCTACACACTGTGTGTCAACTTTGAATTTGGTGAGTCTGTTTTTTGGCGGGCCCCGTGTTGTTTTTTTAGGGAAACCTCATGGGAACCCAGCCTTTTTGGGGTTCTCCTATTTTGAGATATGCATCCCATCCAAATGAAATGGCGAGCCCTCCCCAGAATTCGCGGAATCCTCCCCTTGCAAGTGTTTGCGTTGTGACTTTGTTCCTCCAATCGGGCGCTTTGAAAGGCCCAACCCTTGGAAGTTGTTCTTTTTTTCCTCAGATGGCTTACGCAACCATTCTCTGGCTTTTGGGTGGTCAACGCAAATGTGGTTCGTTGCATTTTTGTCGACGTCGTTTAGCTGGCCAACTTTTTGTTCAGCTTACGTGCCCACTACACTTTGTAGCTGCCTCATTTGGAAACAATGTACCTGGCCAATCCGCCCACGGCCGAGTCCCCTGCTCCCATTCTACAGGCAAGGAGTGCGGAAGTCCCTTCTAAACGTGCCCAAGGGGTATTAGATCACGCATGGAAATGTTCACCTCCACGGTCCCTTGCGACTTTGGGCGTGGGTGGATAGGATGCTCGTGAAGACATGGGGGGGGGGGCCGGGCCAGTTGCGGCCTTTGGTAGGGATGGAGACAAAATGTGATTCGACCAGCCTCTGGGTCTTAGGGAAAGCCACAAGGAGTTGGTGTAAACATGGCATGTTTCAAAATGAAGGGACTCCAAAATGGTGTTCCCTTCTTGTACCTTGAAACCAATTCCCCCAAACTCCTAGCCACCCACTCGCACATCGGCATGCTTCAAGCAGCTGGAAAACGCCCAGGTGCGTCACCAAGACGGTGCACCTCGTCGCTGCGGAGCTCCGCAGAAAGCTCCAACAGGCCCAGCAGCCGGGAAGCAGGGAGCGGGGTTTGAAGCACGGCCCGAGGCGAATCGACCTGAACTGACCTTTCAGTTTCCGCGTTTTGGGCCGGCCCCAAAAGGTTCAGAATTGATTTCTGCGTCCATTGGGTATGGCCCGGTTTGGGTGAGCGAAAAGGAAAACAAAACGAAACATGAGCAAACTATGTGGTCTAAATTGTTTGTGAAAGTCATGTCGATAATGTAGGACTGTATAGGTTGTGCTGAAACTGGCGGTGCATTGGCTTTGCGGCTTTATTTGGTAGACTCCATGAGCTCACATCCAGGAGCCTTCATGGATGTGTGTTATGGGTCCAAGAGTCGTGAGAGGCTGTCTCATTGTATTGTCAGAGTGCTGAGATGAGAGCTTTGGCATAATGGAACTGCTAGCCCGCATGATTGCGGATTGACACTTATGCCTTTCACGTGACAGTATGTTTGGACTGTGCAACTTCACGATTTATTATTGAGTTGCATTGTAGTGTGACCCTGATATATCGGACATCAAGATGCGATCAACGTTTGCAACATGTTATTTGCATTCCAGATATCAGTTTGTGCGTGCAAAGGTTGCGGCAGGCAGGATCAGATAGTTGAAGAGAGGCGGGTCCTTGGATGTTGCAGTGTGCTGGTTGGTCCATTGGGGTTCTTTCTGACAGGAACCAGGACATTTGGACATGAGGTTGTTTAACTTGGCGTTGCGACCATGGGGCACGAGCTTTGACATTTGAGTAGAAGTGTTCAACCTTGAAGTTGAGGATGGCCAGCTTGCAGAGAAGCACATGTGCCTATCAACATTACCAAGGCGAATGTGAAGCATTCCTTGAAAGGCGGTGCAGGTAGTGTTTTTGTTTTTTGGTACTTTCGTCCCATGTTCTGCCATAGCCTCCAAAAGATGATCTTTTGTCTCCAGGGCATCACGCCTGGCTTTGAACAAGGCAAGCATAAGCTGAAGGTATTTTCCTTGCCTTCCCCCCTAATGACAAGGTGAACAACAAGCTTTTGCCGCGGAGACCGCCGGAGAGAGGATCTCCGGAGAGTCACAAAGCGCACAGCCCCAGGTGGTGGGAAGCACTGGACTGGAGCCTCCCCCAAGGGCTTCCTTTTAGCTTCCTTGAACCTCAAGAGGTAGAAAGCCATCAGCCAGCCATTTGGAGGATTCATTTGGGACAGCTAAATGCCAATGTGGCTGATTGAGACTGCTGTGTGCATGCTCATGATGCTCATTGTTTGTTAGGGCTGGGCGCTTCCTTCAGAGGGGTTGAGGACAGATTCTTCGTTGGGTCCTTTCGAGGTTTGTGGAGCAAACCAATGTTTGCACAATACCTTTTTGGAAGGGTTGCTTTCCGGAACCCAGAAGGTGAATAGCAGTACCAGATGGTTGCATGTAGGTTGTCTTCCTGAACTGTGCCCCAAACGGGTTTCTAGTTTGGGCACGCTTTGCAACGTGTGTAGCACCAGTTGTTTTGTCCATGTGCAACAAGCATGTATTTGCTCGTCCTTTTTGCCGGAGGACACTCAAAATGTGATAATATTCTATACAAGTAAGGTCCGGCAGAGCCGGGGGGCGGAAGTTTCAAAGCAGTGAACAACTATAGTTTGGAGAACTGTCCTTGGCCCCTTGCTCTCTCTCTCTCTCTCTCTTTTTCTCTCTTTCTCTCTTTCTCTCTTTCTCTCTTTCTCTTTCTCTTTCTGTTTCTCTGTCTCTTTCTCTCTCTTTCTATCTATCTCTCTAGCTATCTCTATATCTGTTTATTGATCTATCTATCTACCCATCTTTCTCTGCACTTAAAAGTTGCGATGTTCAATCCCCGAAAGTTGACTTCGCGTACTACTTTCGTACTTAAAAGTTGCGATTTTCGAGCCCCAGCTGCGAAACTGGACTTCACGTACTACTTTCGTAGTTAAAAGTTGCGATTTTCGAGCCCCAGCTACGAAAGTGGACTTCGCGTACTACTTTCGTACTAAAAAGTCGCGATTTTCGAGCCCCAGCTGCGAAAGTGGACTTTGCGTACTACTTTCGTACTTAAAAGTTGCGATTTTCAAGCCCCGGCTGCGAAAGTGGACTTTGCGCACTACTTTCGTACTTAAAAGTTGCGATTTTCAAGCCCCAGCTGCGAAAGTTGACTTCGCGTACTACTTTCGTACTTAAAAGTTGCGATTTATCTATAGATCTACCTATCTATCTACCTCTCTATCTCCTATCTATCTATCTACCTCTCTATTTATTTATCTCTCTATCTCTTTATCTATCTAGCTAGTTATTTGTCTATCTATCTACAAATCTATCTATCTCTGTCTATCTCTGTTTCTCTATCTCTTTCTATCTATTTCTCTAGCTATCTCTATATCTGTTTATTGATCTATCTATCTACCCATCTTTCTCTGCACTTAAAAGTTGCGATGTTCAATCCCCGAAAGTTGACTTCGCGTACTACTTTCGTACTTAAAAGTTGCGATTTTCGAGCCCCAGCTGCGAAACTGGACTTCACGTACTACTTTCGTAGTTAAAAGTTGCGATTTTCGAGCCCCAGCTACGAAAGTGGACTTCGCGTACTACTTTCGTACTAAAAAGTCGCGATTTTCGAGCCCCAGCTGCGAAAGTGGACTTTGCGTACTACTTTCGTACTTAAAAGTTGCGATTTTCAAGCCCCGGCTGCGAAAGTGGACTTTGCGCACTACTTTCGTACTTAAAAGTTGCGATTTTCAAGCCCCAGCTGCGAAAGTTGACTTCGCGTACTACTTTCGTTCTTAAAAGTTGCGATTTTCGAGCCCCGGCTGCGAAAGTTGACCTTGCAAAAACACTGCGCCTGCCACCAAATCTGTGCTTGACCTTGCTAAAGCGCTGCGCCTGCCACAAAATCTGTACTTGACCTTGCGAAAGTGCTGCGCGTGCCACGAAATCTATACTTGACCTTGCGAAAGTGCTGCGCCTGCCACGCAATTCAAACCTTGCGAAACCTTCGCGCGGCCGTGCCAATGGGCCCGTCTCCGAGACCGTTCCGAGACCGTTCCGAGACCGCCTCCGTACAGGCGTCGCAGCCGAGGTGGTTTGCGCACAGTCCGGAAGCCCAATTCACGCACAGCGCCAACGTTTTCTGCATCTTGCCATCCCCCAGCTCGCAGAGAGTGCTTGCGAAAGTGCTGCGCCTGCCACGAAATCGATACTTGACCTTGCGAAAGTGCTGCGCCTGCCACGAAATCTATACTTGACCTTGCGAAAGTGCTGCGCCTGCCACGCAATTCAAACCTTGCGAAACCTTCGCGCGGCCGTGCCAATGGGCCCGTCTCCGAACCCGTTCCGAACCCGTTCCGAGACCGTTCCGAGACCGTTCCGAGACCGCCTCCGTACAGGCGTCGCAGCCGAGGTGGTTTGCGCACAGTCCGGAAGCCCAATTCACGCACAGCGCCAACGTTTTCTGCATCTTGCCATCCCCCAGCTCGCAGAGAGTGCTTGCGAAAGTGCTGCGCCTGCCACGAAATCTATACTTGAGAAAGCTATCTACGTGTTAAGCTGGCTATATGTCAAAGCTATCTATCTGTCATGCAAGCCTATTGGAAAGCTATCTATCTGTCAAGCTAGCTATATGTCAAAGCTATCTATCTGTCATGCAAGCCTATTGGAAAGCTATCTATCTGTCAAGCTAGCTATATGTCAAAGCTATCTATTTGTCATGCTAGCTACCTGTCATAGCTATATGTCAAAGCAGCTAGCTCATTTAGTTCCAGTACTACGGAAGTTTCTTGTTAAACTTCCTTTGATTATAGAGAAGGAGAGAGAGAGAGAGGGAAAGCGAGAAGCAGGAACAGAAAAGAAAAGCAAGGAAAAGGCAAAGAACAAAGATAAGAAAGCAAGAAATAAAGAGAAAGAAAGACAGAAAGACAGAAAGACAGAAAGACAGAAAGAAAGACAGAAAGACAGAAAGGCACTGGGAGGGACACCCAGAAAGCTACATCCGTTTCTGAGGATCGGAGTGGGCCAACTCCGAAGACACCGGGCAGGTGCGCACTGAGACATTGCCGGCTTGCTCTCCTTGATATCCATGGCATTGAAGTCATCTGTCTGGCTTGTAAGACTCACCTGGAACAGCCATGGCTGCAATATGTTTGGTTGGCAAGACTTTTGGCGCGCTAGGTCCCCCAGTAGTGCCCTTTGACCCTTTTTGGGGGAGGGTTCCCCTACTAAAACAGACTACAGAGAAAAAAAAAGGTGCCCTTATTCTAACCCCTCTACTGGAGGACCTAGGAGTGGGCTGCGGTGCCTTCCAAAGGTTGCCAGTCCTTGCGGGAGCTTCTTGTAGATGACACGGAGACCCGCTTCAGTCAAGCATCATGGCAATGCGAAAATGGTTACGAAGGGACGGCTCCACTCCACAAGTGGCTTTGCCTTGTGATCTTCTTACTTCAGACTGATCCAGACCCAAAGTTTGTGGGCAGGCGTGGACTCGGGGGCCAATAGGACTGCAAGTACGAAAGCAAAATGCAATTGCTTTTTTTTGTGGCTGAAGAGGGCAAGGATTTTTCTCGGAAGTTCTGTGTTATTCGGGGCGGGGCTAGCCTTGAAGGGTTTGGTGCCCTGTACGAGCTTGTCTTAACTTGTTTTTTTGTTGTTTTTGTTAAACATATTGTTTCTATGACCCCTCCAAGAACCACTGGAGATCTGGGGTTTCCCCAGAATCCCTCTGAGAAAAACGTCCCTTTCCGGCCCAAATTCAAACAAATGCCACAAACGTAACTTTGAGTTGCCAACCTTTAAAACGCAAACTTGGGTGCCAAGGGCTACAGGACCTTAAACCTGGTTGTGCACGTATGTCAATGCAGTTCCACTGGTTTTACGCCCCTCTGCGAGTAGCCTCCCATCCACCAAACATGGAATGCGGCTGGTGGGTCCTGGACCATTTCCTGGACCATTTTCTGGTAAACGTGGACGGGAGGACTGCAAGTTCCATATTTTCCATAGTTCCATGGGGAGCCCAAAGGAAGTGGGACGGATTTTCAATAAGAAAGCCCCCCTCAAGTGGTTCGACAGGACTCCCCCAAAATGATGTCCGCCAATGGCTCCCTGCTTGCGGTTCTGCCCAAACAGTCAAACAGTTTGAACGAGCCAGAGATCCGTCTCACTTGGAGTTGCGTCAGGCATTCCAGCCCCTGGGCGGCCATGGCGGAGCTGAGCGGCCGCTTGGAAAGGTGTTGTTTTCTCATTTTGTTTCTGGGATTTCAGGAGTTAGAACTCGGAGTTTCAGGCGGAATTTGGTGGACACCGGTCGAGAATCCCATCCACTGCCCTGCCAGAAAGCATTGCTGCCCGAAAGCAACCATAGCTGCGGTCGAAGTCAACTGGGGTGTCCTATGAACACCAGATCGGGGCCGGCCCACTGTGTGAAATATGCTGGCCATGTGTTCGAGGCAACGAGCAGTCAGGCCCTTTTTTGTTGTCGTTTTTCTTGTTCTTGTTTTTTTTTTTTTTTGTATTTTTGTTCTTTCTTTTTTTCTCGTACACAAAAATCAACACATAAAAACACAAACAGGAGGCAGCAATCACATGCCACACCGCTTGAAACATGACGGATGTGGCTTCAACCCCATATATAAGTTAATTCGCCTTGGACAGATATGCTTTGTTTGAAGTGAGTAAATCCAAGCTGTTCTCATCGTTATGTGGAATGGACTGACGGGTGCGATAATGATTCTTTGTCATGCGTCTAGGTAGTGTGGGTTTGCTCGTTTTTGCTTCGCAGGCTGCGTGAAAAAGCCTGAATGTGCCATGTGCCAGCCAGGCTGGCTAGACCTGATCCGATTTGAGCTCTGATTTTAGATGATTTAGATGTTTACGTTTTGGCGTCTGAAAATCCAAGGGCTTGTGTTCTTTGCTAGCCTTCCTCAGGGACAAGAAACCCAGAGGCTGAGAGATGTGGGAAGCCAACCAACTGAGGCAGCGACGTGGAGTCACCAGCCTCTTCGCCAGATGCTCGGGGCATGCGAAATGTGCCTTTCACCGTTGCCGGGCTTTGCCTTGGCTTTGCCTTTCAGTTTTCCCCCGCACAAGTTGGTCTTCGAATGGGTCTCCGGTTAATATCCAAGAGGGTCCATGCCTGGAATCCATCTGTGCATGCAGCATGGAAGTATTTTCTTTAATTGAAACCCCCATTGTTCATGGAGAGCTTCCCTTTATGTTTCCCGTTCAAAGCATCCAACAGCACCATTGTAGCAACATCTAGATCCTTAGGCTAGGCTGCATGTTATATTCTGGTAGCAAGCTAGACACATTTCATCACTTTGCCCGCTTTGGAAGTGCACAACAGGTACGGGAAGACTAACTTGAGTCTGATGCCTCCCTTCCAAGCTGTGTTGAAGAAAGGCCTCGAATTCAGGCTATATTTGCAACTTAGTTGATTTGGGCTTTTGCAGAAACATATCAGAGCCCAGCCATGTGTGCAATTGTGCGTTACCCTGCCTCGGGCAAGAGTCATCCCACTGGGTTTTGGTGTGACTTGTTTGCTCATTGGTGAAATTCTCTGGGTGTTCGTCCTCACACCTGAGGCCCCGCAGCCGAAGCGAGGCGAGGGCGGAAGGGCGAAGGGCAATGGGATTCGGATTCCTGCTGTTCACTAAGTCAGCCGCTCTGCCAAGAGCTATCTCTGGATGTGTTTGTTGTCTTCTAGGTTGAGATTGGCACGATTCCTGGTTTTCTATCAAAGCTTGGAAGGGCCATCAAACTTCTGAAACGTCATCTTACACATTTGGGATTGCTTCAGCCTGGCTGGAGAGATGGTACCTATCGGCCTACTTTGCGAATCGTAGGCTGTTGATATACCGATGTTTTTTGTTGGTATGGCTGACGTTTTATCGATGCAGGATAAGAGGTTGCAGCTTTGTCCACCACAATGAGGCACAAGGCGTACGTGCGTACGGGCTGACACGTTCAGCATGATGTGCCTTTGAACTATTAAACGGGGACCCCACACCCAGCCAAAGTGTTGTTGTTCTTATCAGCGGGCAATGTGCAGCCTGCCTGCTCGGTGTCATCGCGACGTTCTCTTTGATGTTTCTTTCGCCCAACTTGCAACATGAATGGTGCGCTGCCATCGCCAGCCAGCAACTATATATGCTACGAAGGCCCTTCGAGCCCTTCATGCAGCGATATGTCATTGTTAAATATGATGTTTTCTGACCAGTGAGGTGTTTCGACAAGTGGGCCACTCATCTCCCTTGTATCATGGCATCATCCTTTCGCGCATTGAGGCAGATGTGTGCTGGACCACCGAGCCAGGTGCTCACTTTCATGCTCCACTGGACTCTGATCCTTGCGCGGGAAACTCACGTTCCATTTGAGCAGCGCCCACATCCCGAACCTCCCATCCGTTTCAGCAGGCCGAGTCTGGAGAAGAGGCGCTTCCAAAGCAGGAGCTGCTGCTGTTGATTGCTTTTGTGTCTGCTACGTGCTGGCGCAACCGTGGTTAGCCAAGTAGCACGGAAGTAACAAGGGGAAGCCCGGACCTGAAGCATGTGTCAAAGATGAGCGCCAAGCCAAGTTCCTGGGGCTCTCAAAGGGATTTCTCGACTGAAGCGACAAGAGTGCGCCATTGCTTAAGTGCGCAGCTGCAAGTTGTGTCTGTGGTTTGGGGATATATTGTATTTTGGGGACATCGTATCCCAAAGTGAACAAATCCTTGTCATTCACACTGGATGTCATCACCTGTGAGGGGACTAGCTGGCTTTGTGAAAATGGCAGGGGGAAACTCGCATCGGTTCTGAATATTGAATCGTTCGCCTGCTCCTTAAAGCCGAATGCAAGGGCATTCGGACGAGTTTGCAGCCAAATGATCGTCATGTTCCATTGGCAAACAGCATCCAGCCTTCTCCGGCCTGGATAGCTTGATGCATGGTTTGAGCTTCCCTACAGCATGTGTTGAGACATTGAAAGCGGCTGGTAGACAATCTGATGTAGAATACGGGAACCGATTTCATTGGGACATGCTCAATCATCCAAGCTTTAAGGAATATAAGTGACAAGAGCCACACCGGCAGAGGCGAAAAGGGTGCATGCTTTGTGGCCAGATGCACTGGGGGTGGGTCTTGGCCTCCGAACAATCCGTGCTTCCGTGAAGCATCCATGACCAGTGAAGAGGAAAGTCGTGAAAACAGAGGGTGCCACTTTGCCCCGCTTCTGTTCTTGCCGATTGGTAAAGAAGTGGCCGTGGAAAGCAGCAACTCTCATGGGCCAGCTATGAAGCCGGCTCGTGCAGGAGGCCGTCCCCAGATCGCAGGCTGGGCCGCCGTTGGGCTGAGGGTGGCAATGCCCAGAAGAGCGCGTCACTAGGGATCGACACTCCAAGGGGCCTCCAAGGGGCCTCCAAGGGATGGACGTGTTGCCATCTTTCTGATGGGATCCGTGACCATTGTTTGAGCGTGGGACTACGGTCCCTGACACACGTACAGCGAACTGAAGCTTACCGATAGCCTTGTGGCTTGCTCAATCAGGCCATAATATGTGTTTGAACATGTTAGATTTGAACCTTTGGTTGTTCAAGGTCAGCTCCAAGACTCGCCAGGATACGGTAGTCTGTGTGTTGGATATGAGTTCAGTCGAAACGACACCACACACACACACATGGAGGCTTAAGACTCATTCATGTTGGATATGAGGCCAGTCGAAACGACACCACACACATGGAGGCTTAAGACTCATTCGCACGGTCAGACTTGTTTTCCATTGCTCGCAGCACCAAGCTAACTTGCGCACAAATGTTGCATCATCCTTTTGGTTGGTCCATGAGCAATCTTGCCGCAATACCTGAACCCGAGCCAAGCTGCTCCTCTCTTAAATTATTTGGAGAAGCTTGTGGAGCTTGCATGGCGAACTACCAAGCTGTGGGGCCATGGGCTCTCTCAGGAGAATTATGTCCCACAGCTGGTAGCTGGTAGACCGATACTTTCCAACGATCAGCCCCTGAGCCGCACCTTCCTCGCCATTCAGGAGGCTGTCTTCAAGCCAGCGCCAGAGGCCTGCCCGGCCTGGTTTGGGTTTGGGGACGGCTCGAGTTGTGCGTCGCGCTAAAACCCCTCCAATCAACCCTGTTTCCTAAGGGCGATGCTGGGAATGTATCCCACCATGAGGCAATGCGCGCGAGCGCCAAATGCGCAAAAGGGCATGAAAGTCCCTGATGTTGCAGCCAGTGATACACGGTGAAGATAGTTTTGCGTGTTTGTGCTTGTGTTAACTTGTTGGCATACGTTGGCCTGCGTTGGCCTGCGTTATAGCCCGTCAGAGTATAGAGTATAGGGATCAGTTGTTGGGCTGTTACTTTTAGGGTATGGCAGGCTGCGCGGATTGGGGTACAATATTAGATACTCTATATGGCTGTGGCTCAAAAACATGGTTCCAACTAGGCCCCTAGGTAAATGGAGGCAAAGACTAGAACCTGCGTAACCCTAGCTGTCAAATTTTGAGCCACGGCCTGCCGTGTGGCAGGAGGCAGCCCCGACCCCC